TTCCTTTTGGTTGCCCTTTAAAACCATCCAGAAAAAATCGGATTCCCACCCCAAACACGCCGCCAGCGGTGGTCGCGCCCCTCGCTCTTCGCGCGCCTCGGGTTTTGTGCCCTTCGTCCAGCTCCAGCGACCCAGCAGCGGCCGGACCACCAGCTCCACTGAGAGAGCGGCGGGGGGCGTCGGCAGTGGATCCTGGGGGCGAGGGGATGCGGGGGAAGTGGAATGGGGGATGAGGGGGGAAGTGGGATGGGGGGTATCCACTGCTTGGTCTTCACCTTAAGGAACACTGACCCTTTCCACATCCCCAAATTCACCCGCCCATTCCCCCCCCCCCATCCCCCCCCACCATTCCCCCCCGTGGAGTGGGCGTCGGGGGCAACTCCCACAATATGAACAAGATCTGTGGTTCACATCTGTGGTGGGTGAGTGAGTGCGGGTGGGTGGGGGTTGGGTTGGGGGCAAGGGTTTCAAGGGGGAATGTGTCAACAATAGTACTTATTTAATTGCTACTGGAATTACCCGAGACTTTTGGGGAAAGGGGTTTCCCATCAATTCAAATTCAACCAACACACAAGGGGCGGCTTTTTCCACATGGAAATTCACTGGGCTTCTGACTTTAAACATGCTTAGAAAGGGGAGGGGGAAGACTTTTGTGTTGAATTGCCCAACCCTGACACAGGGTCCCTTGAAGGATAAATCTAGGCCAGTTGAAAAAAAATACTGATTTCGCGTATCCACCCTCTGGGCTCCATGAATTTCAAGCATGAGTCCTTTGTTTTGACCGAGTGGATCGCCCTGGAACCCTCCGCCCCTACGACCCCAACTTGTTTCACATGTCTGACGGGGTTGGCCCAACCCCCGCAACAATTATTCTCGTAATTCCCCTTTCAATCAGGGTCTGGTTGCTGAAATGCATTTTGCACAAGCCTGGTGCTTGTGAGTGGGGGTTTCTTATTGGGGGTAGCTTGTTCTTGCACGAGCACTTTCCAGAAACACAACCATCACCTAGTGGGTTGGAGCATGGATTATTCGCAAACAATGTTAGTGGAGGATAGGCGGTCCAAGGAAGGCAAACATGTAAGCTACCTGCCGGCAAGCAGGATCGTCTTGCTTCAAAGTTGCCCAGTTCCCAGACTTCCCAGAAACAAAAGAGTAACTTTTTGGAACCTCGACTAAATGGACCAAAGAGGGGAAAAACCAAAAGGTCACAAGGTCGGCTTTGAGCAACTGAGAAAATGAGACTCTGAAACTTTGGACCGTCAGTATTCTTCGTGTGCAAACTGATCTGGCCAAACCTGGGGTCACTATTTTGGCTGCTTTGGGGGCTAAAGTCAGAAACAGCGGTGGTGTCCCTTTAACCTACCACACGGGAGACTTTGATAGTGGTGACATAGCTGTCCTCAGATCCCCTGCTAAATCAGCCTACTAGAAAGTGAGATACCTAGCAGTCATGGCCATTTCCTTTCAAAGTAGATGTGCTGAGCATGCATTTGCCCTTTACACAACATCAAGGGACATTGTTGAACAAAACCACAACCAACAAAAAGGTTACAACAAACGTGCTCCCCCAAAACAATTCAGCACATTGTCTTGCATGCGGAATCAAAAAGCATGTTTGTTGGGAGGAAGAGTTCCATTAGAACACTGTTTGCAACACAGCGAGCAAAATCAACTACAAGCAACATGCACATATAAGCTGAAGACCAAATACAAGCTAATTCAAACTGACAAACAACACAAACTAACAACGCAAACTAACCAATCATTAAAAAAAACAACTTACAAACAGCTCAACACGAATTCGAAACGCAAAACACGACAAACAACCACACACAAACACATCATCATACGACTAGGAGCTATTTGTTGCTCTCCAGGTCCAAGTTGACTCGACTGCGGTCAAGGGGCGGAAGCTGTCAAGGGCGTGCCCTCAAAGAGCAGAGTGGAGCGGCTCCCGAGATAGTCCTTGCCTGAGTCTCAGTTGCCTTTTCTGCTTCCATTCCAGAATCGAATCTTACAATCCTAAAATCGACATCTTGCCCAGCGACCCCCAACCACTGCTTTTTAGACAGTGCTTCGGAGCTTGGACATGGGAAAAGCAGTTGTTGGGTGGCGGATTGAGGCCGTGGTGGCAAGGGGGGGAGAATCATGCTGACCGGGCAGGGGGCCCGCCCTTGTAGAAAGGAACCTTTGTTGGAGGTCGAGCTCGCAGCAGGGAACTCACCAAAAAATGGACTTAGATTCCTGAACTAACCTGACCCATTGCCTCAGTGGCGCAGGAGTTAGGAGTTGACCCCCAATTGAATCCCTTTCAACCTTGTGTAACCAGGGTGACTACCAGTTGTGTTCCCCAGGCCATCTAAGTGTCAGCGTCTTACTTGCGGGAAATTGAGGGACCCCATATATATATATATATATGTTGGCCTGGACACAATCCGTCAAAAGAACCGTGCCCAGCCCCTGGCTTTGGTTCATGCCAATGTGGCACCCAACCTTCACCCCCCATCCTCAAAAAGTACCTGACACCCTGGTGGACCAAAGCAACCCCAAACCTAAACTCCCCAACTGATCCATCCTTTTCGCTTCTTCTGGGATAAACCCAAGCGGTGGCACAGCTTGATTTGCCCAAGACGAGGAGTTGGGGAGCCCCCTTATGCTCTAGCGCTTTCCCAGTTGCAACCAGCGACCCTGGCGGTCAGTCTTCAAATGCTGGCCCTTTTGCCCTGAAATTTTGCTCTAGCGCTTTCCCAATTGCAACCAGCGACCCTGGTTGTTTGCCGCGAAATTGGATCTGAATTGTTAAATCCTCTTCCTTTCAAAGTTCGCCCCAGAATTCTTAAACCGTGTCAACATCGTGCGTCACCAATGGGTTACGGATTTGCTCAGCTAGTTTACGAGCACAATGCCAGCCAGAAAAGATTCAGCTTCTGATAGCTCTGTGAAAGACAGCGGCTTTAAAGAGGACCTCTTGCGAGCTAAGGGTGGATTAATACACCCAATTCCCAAATAGAATCATCCCGTCGGGTCAGATTCTTCCGAGGTCGACAAAATAAGCAAGACACACTGTGCATGGACAAAATCCTGAACCAGTTGG